GTGAGCCAAATTTTCTGTTTCTTGTTATGCAGAAAGGCAGTGCCTATCAGAATTAACAAACAGAGAGAGAGAGTGATGAGGGCATAAACAAATATGAACTTACCAAAATCTGGAATTACCATGGAATGTTAATGATCAGTAAGTCATTGTCATATTTTGGCATATATAAAAACCCTTCCCAACTCTGGAGCTTCAGTTTATAGTAAACTTGCAGTCAGTAAGCTGGGGTCTAAATATTTTAATTCTAATTTACCGTAAATGCCGGCGTATAAGACTTCCGCGAGCGCTGAAATCGGCGCCAAAGACAGGGCTCATCTTATATGCCGAGTCGTCTTATATGCCGGAAATACTGGTAGTTTCCGGCGTATAAGACGACGTTTTAAGAATGCAGCCCAGCTATAAAGACGGGGGTCGTCTTATACGCCGGGTCGCCTAATACGCCAGCATATACGGTATTTCTGATCAGCTCTAATTAAGGGAATGGGTGGACAGCCTAATTAAAACTGTTATCTGTGTTTTCAGAATGATTAATCCACATAGAATCTGTCTGGAACTAGAACCACAGTATGTGACGTTTCACCACAGTACTATGTGTACTGTGTACCCCTCTGTACACTGTGTGTACCCCCCACCTTGCTGAAGGGCTTCAGTATGAAATGCAGAATCTAGCCCACTATAAGAGTTTTCTTATCGAGAATTCACCCTGGGGCGTCATGGCAACACGGATGAAAGAAACCAGAGCTCCGGTTTCCTAGTCCGATTTCGCTTCCTCTGGAGACCCAAAGAGGTCAGAAAGTCGCCCTGGAGAGGCAATGAAGAGGAAGGGAAACCTTGGGAGTGTGGATCACAACAAATTGTGGCAAGTTCTTAAAGAGATGGGAGTACCAGACCATCTTATTTGTCTCTTGAGAAACTTATATGCGGATCAAGAAGCAACAGTGAGAACTGGACACGGAACCACTGATTGGTTCAAAATTGGGAAAGGAGTCCGATATGGCTGTATTCTGTCACCCTGCCTATTTAACTTATATGCAGAGCACATCATGAGAAAGGCAGGGCTGGATGAATCAAAAGTTGGAATTAAGATTGCCGGGAGAAATATCAACAACCTAAGATATGCAGATGATACCACTCTAATGGCAGAAAGTGAAGAGGAACTAAAGAGCCTCTTGATGCGGGTGAAGAAGGAGAGTGCAAAAGTTGGCTTGAAACTCAACATTAAGAAAACCAAAATCATGGCATCCGGCCCTCTCAATTCCTGGCAAATAGATGGAGAAGAAATGGAGGTAGTGACAGATTTTTTTTTCCTGGGCTCCAAGATCACCACAGATGGGGACTGCAGCCAAGAAATTAAAAGACGCTTGCTTCTGGGGAGAAAAGCTATGGCAAATCTAGACAGCATACTAAAAAGCAGAGACATCACCCTGCCAACAAAAGTGCGTATAGTCAAGGCCATGGTTTTCCCAGTTGCAATGTATGGTTGTGAAAATTGGACCATAAGAAAGGCTGAGCGCCAAAGATTTGAAGCCTTTGAACTATGGTACTGGAGAAGACTCCTGCGAGTCCCTTGGACTGCGAGGCGACCAAACTGGTCAGTCCTAGAGGAGATCAACCCTGACTGCTCTTTAGAAGGCCAGATCCTGAAGTTGAAACTCAAGTACTTTGGACACCTAATGAGAAGGACTCACTGGAGAAGAGCCTAATGCTGGGAAAGATTGAGGGCAATAGAAGAAGGGGATGACAGAGAATGAGGTGGCTGGATGGAGTCACTGAAGCAGTAGGAGTGAGCTTAAATGGACTCCAGAAGATGGTAGAGGACAGAAAGGCCTGGAGGAATGTTGTCCATGAGTTCGCGATGGGTCGGACACGACTTCACAACAATGCCAGAAAAACTTGATAAGCAAAGTACATATTTGATTCTACATATGATAACAATGGCAAGAATTATATTTGCACAATAATGGAAGAACGAAGAAATACCACCAGAAGAAGAAATAATTAAAAAAAATATTAGATTGTGCGGACTTACTTTAAGGTTGAAAGAAAAAGAAGAAACAGAATATTTTCAAACTTGGGATCTATTTTATCAACAGTTAGAGAAAAGATTTAGGGACTAGGAATTTAATTTGTATTAGTGAAGAAGATACTCAAACAACACGCTTTTGTTGAATAATTATTATTGAACTCTGTTAAAAAAAATAATAAAACTTTAAAAAAGAGTTTTTTTATCATATTGGCACTTTATCTAGTTGCCTATTCCAACTGCCATTTCTGATCCTTCTTCTAGAATAGCTGAAAACTAATACTGTAATAGGAATCTACAAAGGTTATCCAATAAAAAAGCAGTATCATTTTTAAGCACACACTCTATGCATGCACATATTATACTCAAAATTCTAAGACATGACAAGCTGCCAGATCACCATACCATCCTGAAATTTTGAAGCTTAACCTTTCTGAATAATTCCTACAGGGCAGAGAGAGAGAGAGGGAGAGGGAGAGGGAGAGAGAGAGAGAGAGAGAGAGAGAGGAAGAGGGGGGGGGGAGTCTGTAGCAAGCTTATAAAGTTCCAGTGGTTGCTATCTGGGAATAGACAGATGCATTAGATTAGCTAGAAAGCAATTCCTTATTTTGCTGGCTTTGCAATAAGATATTTAAAACATCAAATAAAATAAAACAATTGGTATGTCAGAATCAGAGCTGTATATGTCATGCTATTTTTAAAAATGCTATCGGTTCTGCAGATTAAATTAAACCCCAGAGGTCACAGTATGATAGTAAAAGGCTCATTTCATGATCACTATTAACTGCTCTGGGTGCAAATATAAATTAAGGCCAGCAGGTCAGTGATCATTCTGGACTTAGTGGATTGTGTTTCATAGGTATTGCAGTTACTCACCTGTAAAAATGTTTGCCCTGATCCAAAAGAAACTCATGGGGAGAACTGAATACTATCAGAGAACTGCTGAGGGTGTCACTTTACTGTCAGCCCCCAGAGCAGAACAGGACTTTAGACTGAGTCATAAGTTGTGCAGCTGTACATCTTGAGAATTTACCCTTCAGAAAGAGCAGATAGTGTCAGAGGACATAGAAACTGAAAAGACCTAAACCATGATTTCAGGCATCATGCCATTGAAAGAAACACCAGCACCAATCGTAATATATGGTCATAATTGTTCTCCACTTCTATTATTATTAGAATAGTGGATATGATCTACTATTCACAATTTAGAAAAAAACTTCCTGTTATTGACAAATAATGATCTTAAACATTCCAAAACACTCCACAAATATGTTAGTCTATATTCTGAAAGTTCTATTCAGCATTGCATTTCGAACAGTACTTCTGTAACCTTCAAATAATTATTTGGAAATGCTCATCAAATTCTTATTATTTGTAAGTGAACATATATCATTTGGCTGCAAACCAACTAATTAGTGTTAGTGTAAAACTAAAATCTAATATCACAAATACTTACTAATAAATACTACCTCCATTGTTAGATTTTATATTTAATAAGCATCAGCTCCACAATTCCACACAAGACAGGATAAATATCTCAACATAAGGTAATTGATAAGTAAATCAATCTAGCCGAGAAATATAAGATGAAACGTAAATATTAATTTGTCCATGAGATTTAGACAGTTATTTAGATTTAGACATGGTATTTCAGTATCAGGCATATGACCTAGTTATGTCAAAAAATTAACAATGCTGGATTAGAAGAAGCCAGTTACTGGGACTTGATTACTGAATGGAGAGGGCAATCTGCACTAAAGTGAATACAGGAGAAGTAAATAGAAAAATAAACTTTCTAGAGATAAATTAACGTTAAGAAAAAAGTTTTTTATTAATTAAAAAGACATAGATAAAATTGTCCAAACATTATGATGCTCATTAGGGAGAGAGATTCTCAACCTTTGACTATTGTGGTAGGATCCATCCCAAAGGCAGGGGAGAAAAAAATCAAAGGCAAGGAACCTTTTTCAGCGCCACTCTTTAAACTGGAAGACACAGCACGGTGAAATGGCTTCTGAGACAAATGCATTTCCCAAAGAGGGATCCTACAGAATAAACAGTCCAGGCCATGGCCTCGTGCCCGATGCTCCCACTACCCCCCACTTCCACCCTCTCCTTTTAGCAATCCCCGGGGGCCACAAATGGGCTCCCTCATCAGACGCCTGTCTCGACACAAGGAAAGCTCTTCCCTGGGTCTTACGCGAGCCGGCCTAGCTCGCAGGAGAACCAGATGGAGAGAAAGGCCAGAAAGAACAGAGGAAGAGCTGAGAGCGCCTCTTCCTCACAGCACGTTCCCCGGGCCAAGGATGCGCGCAGGAACAAACAAACAAAGCAAAGCAAAGCAATGGACTGATCCGGCGGGGAGAATCAACTCGGCGTGGCTACGACCCCCCTGGCTAGCAGGAGGCAGGGCGGCTACATCGGGGTCAGCAAGAGAAGACGGTCCGCTCGGCGCTTCGGCAGTCACGAAGATGGTTAGGACTTGGGGAATGAGGGCGAGGGGCCAAGAGGCGAGAAACGAGATGCTGGAGAGGACTCGGCACTATTGAGCCCTCTGGATGCACAGGAAGTCCGAGCAGCTCTTCCCCGAATCCCCCTCCCGCCTCTCTCCTCTTCTGGAGGAGGCCGCCGCCGCCGCCCTCCTTTCTCTCCTCTGCACCCCACGCCGCTGCGGAAAGCTGAATTGAGCCAACTCTTAGAGGGAAGCAGCGAGTAGCGCGCGGGGTCCCACCGCTCTCCTTGTTTTCCACCCAGCGTAATACTCATGCGCGCCCACGCGGCGCTAAGCACGTACGCCCGCTGCTCCCCACCTGTAGGCGCCGGCAGACAGTCCACAATGGCCTGAGGCGCACGGAGGAGGGGTGGGTTTCGCGCGCTGGTCCCACCTGCGCGACCGGCTCGGCGACATCTGGACCAACACAACACCCCCAGCCCCGCACCCCGGTCACCAAACCGAGCATCTCTTGCAAGTAGCTACCTGGGAATCGCGCCGCACTCTTGTCCTGACCTGGGGGTGGCGACGGCCAAGCCGGATTCCTGCTGCAGGCTCAGAGAGTCGGCCGGTCCCGGTGTGCACTGCGGGGTGTGGCGGCTCCTGTCCTGGGGCGATTTAGCGCCTGTAGCTTCAGAGCAGCGCTGCTAGCCGGTCAGTAAACCACGTCACTGGCTGCCCGCCTGAGCCAAACGGGACCGCCCGAAGGTTGGGTCCTAGCGCCTCCCAAAGGTTCCTTCAAAGGCAGAATCCCCCCGTCCCTCCCAGGCGGACAGCGATTTGAGGAACCACAAGGAGAGATGGGGTAGCAAGATGGATCGGACCAGAATTTGGGGGCTTGGTCTCGGCAAGTCCAAGTCCAAATAGCTAGGGTGGGGATGGAGTAGTGGGCAAATGCTTGGCGTGGACCGAAAGTGAGGAAGTCATCCGAACAACAAGCGGAGATGCCCATCAATGGGGATGAGAATGGATGGGACCAACCAGAGAAACAAGGAAATGATGGATGGGTGGAGGTGGGAGGAGGATATGCATCAATGGTGGGAATCAGGGCGTTGGGAAAGTCAAAGAAGCTGTGAGCACATGGATTACATCCAAATCAGAAAGAGCTGAACCACAGGCACTGAAGTGCATCAGGAATGATTGTGAGCCACAGTGATGATTCCAACAGTTTATCAAAGACCAGCAAGTACATAGACAGAACTAAGGAAAAAACAGACAAAGGAAATAGCAGAAAACTATACCTATAGAATCAGAATTGGATTTAGTTCAGTAGCAAAGAGGAGATGGTTAACATTCAGATTATCCAAACATCATGTCTTCAGACCAAAAGTAGAAATTAGGAATCTTCTAAATTCTGAAAACACTTTGTCCTGCAAACTGTTTTCAAGGTAGTAATAGAAAGAAAAGGCATGAGTAGTTAAGAATGAGCTCAGTTTGAGATTTATTGAGGCTGTTATACAATTTTGTGTGTGTTAAGAATACTCAGAGTTATCTGGAAGCAGGATAGTTCTTTTCACAAAGATGATCTTTACTTGGGCTTGCTGTAACAACCTCCATTTGTTGTTGTTGTTACAAATATCACACTATGGGGTTCATAAGAGGTAAAATTGATTGCAGATGTTTTTCACACTATAAATTTTATACAATACTGCACCCCTTGTAACAACAATCCCCACTTAATCAGATATTTTCTACACTGATTTTCTGCTTGCTAGTAAGCTTTTTTCAGGCAACGTACAATGTTGCAAAATTGTGTTATCATAAGATAAATTGCTGTAAAAAACTATGTGATTTTTTTTTCTTGTGTTTGTTTTATTTGCTGGCTAAAGCCTGTAATAAAGTAACATTGAATTGAATTCTTCTTATAAGAAAAAGTAAAAAATTGTTGACTATTCCCTGATTAGCCACAAATTTAACCAAAGAACTTAATCTAAACAATCCCGATGATGTTATCCAATATGTGACTGGTATTAACTGGAAAGAATGATCACAATGCTACCATTATTAACATTTATGTTACTGAACAATTGCAAAATCCAAAGAAGTATAATTGCATTTGGACTCCATTCATGAAACAGGAATATTTTGATTAAGAGCCCTTAGAAATACATAAAAGTATTCATATATTTAGTTACAAATCAATTTTATTGCTATTTCATGCATTTCTTTCAAATCTTACACTTTCATTCTAAGATATAATATCTGACATTTCTAAAGTTTAGGTACAATGGTTAATCAATTGATTAGTTATAACAACTTTTTAAAAAATTCAAAGAAACAAAGTAAGTTCTAATGAATCAGGCCATAGTTTTGTTTTGTATTATGCACACCCTTATAAAAATATATGGATGTGCAAGTCACATCTTAAAAGAAAGTGTTCTTTTCTCTATTATGTAAACATGGATTTTCTCTTCTATGAAGATACTTCCTGCAGCCTGAGCAGCTTAGGTCAAAACAGATGTACCTTTGCAATGTTGATGCCAATTTGGGATTAATTAACTCAAATTCATGTAATCAATTACATGCTTTGAAACATGTGGTAGCGCTATAGAAAATGTCATCATGAGTTTTTCTGTTATGGTTAACAGCCATTGATTAGGCCATACAAGCAAAAAACTAGGAGAATGGCTACATTTAAAAACTAGGCACATACACTTTATATTTTTAACACGTAAAATAAAAATATTGTTTACCAAGGGTTAAGATCCTCCTTCTCCCTTGGAATAGGCTGCAAATCAGAGCTTTGAGCTTCATTTTACAGAGTCTTAACATTATAGATTCTTCTTCCACCAGATCATAGCACTATGTTCCTTTGCCCTCCTGAGCCACAGAAGGTTTGCTTGCTAGCTTGAATTGTTCAGGCAGGAACTCAAGACAACTATGGTATTTTGGATGGCAACAGTTGCCCTTTCATCTCTTGTCACTGTCCATCTGTTTATAGTGTCTTTCTGCACAGCAGTCCAGGATCCCTCTCCGATCCCCCATCCCCCTTCTTTGCTTTCACTTACCCTTTGCTCAGCCAATATAATTGTGTCCCTCTTCTACCTGAGAACAACTCCACTTTTATAACTGAGTTAAACAATATATTGATCCTCCATCTAAATCTAAAGCATCACAATGGATGGCCAGGTTTTATATCATGAAGATATTAGGGGCTATAAAATGAAATTTCTCTATGATTCCAATTCAGTGTCAAGTAATTATTTAGACCACCCTCAACCAGATTTGTTAGAGTTACAATTAAGTTTCTCAGAAAGTATGAGGGTACACTGGAAAGTACAAAGATTTGCTTTGGATTTATTGGATACTAGAGAGCTGCAAAAGGCAGAACAATGATTTGATGCCATCAACTAAATGACCAGAGCCAGAATTTTCAATAATAATAATAATGCCAGTACGTTAAAAAAATAGCTGGGAAAGCAGATAATAACAAGACCTGGCAATGGCTAAGAGCAGGAAAATTGAAGAAAGAGACTGAGGGACTAATTCTGGCTGCACAAGACCAAGCCTTAAGGACAAATGCATACAAAGTCAAAATTGAGAAGACAGCAACAGACAATAAGTGCCGCCTATGCAAGGACGCTGAAGAAACAGTGGACCACCTGGTAAGCTGCTGCAAGAAGATCGCACAGACTGACTACAAGCAGCGGCATGACAAAGTAGCCACAATGGTGCATTGGAAGATCTGGAAGAAATATTATTTGCCTGTAAACAAGAACTGGTGGGATCATAAAACAGAGAAAATCATAGAAAATGATAAAATTAAACTGCTCTGGGACTTCAGAATTCAAACAGACAAGCACCTGCAACATAACACCCCGGATTTAACAATTGACAATAAGAAAGACAAAAAAGTCTGGATAGTGGACATGGCAGTGCCTGGAGACAGCAGAATAGATGAGAAAGAACTGGAGAAGATAACAAAATACAAAGACCTACAAATAGAAATAGAAAGACTGTGGCAAAAGCAAGAAAGGGTAGTACCAATAGTAATAGGTGCCTTGGGTGCAATCCCAAAACAACTGGAGCACCACTTGAACACTATTGGCATTGACAAATTCTCCATTAGTCAATTGCAAAAGACGGCCTTACTAGGAATTGCTTTCATCCTGCGACGATATCTGTAATACCATCAAACATCCACATCTGCCTATCCCAGGTCTTTGGTAAGGACTCGATAGGCAGAAAAAAATGCCAAAACCAGTCTGAACATCTGGCTGACTGTGCAATGATTAATAATAATAATAATAATAATAATAATAATAATAATAATAATATAACAATAATATTGGAAGGGACCTTGGAAGTCACCTAGTCCAACCTCCTGCTCAGCCAGGAAATCCTATACCATTTCAGGCAAATGGCTGTCCAGTCTCTTCTTAAAAACTTGGAGCATTCTCCACTTATGGAGGCAGGTTATTCCACTGGTTAATTGTTCTGTCAGGAGGTTTCTCTTTAGTTCTAGATTAGTTTTAGATTCTCTCCTTGATTAGTTTCCATCCGTTGCTTCTTGTCCTGCCTTCAGGCACTTTGGAGTATAGCGTGACCCTCTTCTTTGTGGCAGCCCCTGAGATATTGGAACACTGCTATTATGTCCCCCCTCGTGCTTCTCTTCATTAAACTAGACATACCGAATTCCAGACTGAGAGGCGACCAAACTGGTCAGTCCTAGAGGAGATCAACCCTGACTGCTCTTTAGAAGGCCAGATCCTAAAGTTGAAACTCAAATACTTTGGCCACCTAATGAGAAGGAAGGACTCACTGGAGAAGGGTCTAATGCTGGGAAAGATTGAGGGCAATAGAAGAAAGGGACAACAGAGAATGAGATGGCTGGATGGAGTCACTGAAGCAGTAGGTGTGAACTTAAATGGACTCCAGAAGATGGTAGAGGACAGGAAGCCCTGGAGGAACATTGTCCATGGGGTTGCGATGGGTCGGACACGACTTCGCAATTAACAACAACAACAAAGTGGACATAGTTATACCTGGGGGCAGCCAGAATAGAAGGGAAAGAACTGGAGAAAATCACAAAATACAAAGACCTGCAAATAGAATGACTATGACAAATAAAAGCAGAAATAGTATCAATACAATAGTAATCGGAGCCTTGGATGGATTCCCAAAATATATGGAGCACCACTTGAACACTATCGGCATTGACAAATTACCATCAGTCAGTTGCTAAAGGCAGCTTTACTTGGAACTGCTTACATCCTGCAGCAATACATTTAATATTATTAAACAACATCGGTCTCTCCTAGGTCCATGGGAAGGGCATCAATAGTTGGATAAACATGACAAATCCAGACTGGCTGAGTGCGACCAACCATCATAATAATAATTCTTTGCTTCTCATTGTTTTGCTTCTGAAACTTGAAGACTCAGATCCCGAGCAGGGGAAGGAATTGAGGGTTTCCAGAAAGCGGGCTTAGTGGATTAGATATTAAATAAATCCATGCCTGGATTAGCTATAGAATTAAAAGAAGTAAAATCTCCAACAATAAATTTTAATTATTGAAAGTGTACATATGCTTTTTATATAGGGATTTTATGAAAGATTAAAATAATAAAAACTAATACAAATTGAAAAAGAAGAAATAAAAGGTGCAGAAAAGAAAGAAAGAAAAAAGGACTGAAAATAATAGAAAGCTCTTACTCTCAGATTTAGACTCTTACTGTAAACTCATCCAATAAGGACAGTCCCTTTCCTTTAATTGTTTATTAGGTTTCCTTCCTTTACTTTCTCATTGGGAAGGGAGATCAAATGAGGAATCCCCAACCCCAACTGTTTGCATAATCCTAGAACTAATTACCTCATGAATAGGAGGAGGAGGAGAAACTAGCAAGCTAACCCCAATTTTACTGGCCCTTTCATCTACTAGGGCCTGGAGCTAACTATTCTATAAACAGAAAGGGAAGAAGAAAACCGTGCACCGTGCTATTTTTACTCTTCTAAATAAAACAACACTACATTGTTGGCCATATCTGTCCTACAGAAATAAGAATCATTTGAAATAATATTCTGTGCAACTAACCTGCTGCACTATGTTTCCGGGGCAATTTCTCAGTTTCTGATCATAAAGACTGCCTTGTCCATTATAGAGCTACTCTACAAATTTATGAGCTCTTAAGGCTAATGTAATTCTTTTCCCTAACACCCTTGCTCTTTTTATCCGGAACAGAAGATATTGCTAGAGAGAGGCTTTTAGATGTTTTTTAAAGAACCCTAGTTTTTTGTGACAGAGCTACAAAGATGAACTCCTTCTTACAGAAGCAGTGTGGGCCAAAGACCATTTAATCAGATGTATGAGCCATTATGAAGTAAAGAATGAGATACAATGAACATTCACTGCAAAAAATAATAATAATAAAAATACAGCATGTGATAGTATGTAAAATTCAGTTGTCTGCAGAGGAAACAATTCACATAATAAGAATGGTCTCTTCCACAAATTTTAAACCATGTATCGTTTGATGATAGAATTACAGAGTCACAATAAGGGTAAAATGCAGACTGTTTAGAGCAGGCATGTCAAACTTCTGACATCACATGACGTTGCGCGACGTATCGCGACTTTTTCCCCATTGCCGGCAATGTGTGGGCACGGTTTCGGCATGATGCATCCGGCCCGTGGGCCAGCAGTTTGACATGCCTGGTTTAGAAGCATGGATTATTACCAACATTTGGATAAACTCATAATGGATAAGGAGTTGGAAAAAAGATTTGAAACTGTGTCGTTGGATACATTGACTGCAGT